TCCCTAAGCCCTAAACGCTAAATTAGCCGCTAAGTTCTAAACCCTATGCCTGAATCCCGCAAACCCAGAAACCCTGAACATTAAACCCAAAAGCCCTGAGCCCTACACCCTAAACCCTAATCCCTAAACCCTAAACCTAAAGTTGAAAAGGCGATTCCTTACCTCGAAGATGTTTGAAGCCGCCGGCTGCTAGCAAAAGCCCATCGTGGCTTTGGATGCTGGCAGGAGCAGACTAAAGCAGCAAGTGTTACATAAGTCCTGCAAGCATAACAAAGCATTCTACGAGGGCCCCGGAAGACGCCATTGGGTATCCTCGGTTTCAAGGTTTTGAGTTCCGGTGCTGTCAACTTGGGAGTTCATGTAGATCCCGTCTGAACTAACCCTCTAGTTCAATGGCCATAAGATTAGCATATGGGAGTCTCCGAAAATTAGGGGTACCTTATTTTGGGGTCCTTATATTAAGGATCCTATTATTTAGGGTACTATATTAGGGTCCCCTATTTTCAGAAACCCCCATATCTATCTTGGTTTGGACCTGTCTAGACCTAGGGACCTAAGGTTCAGGCTCGGAGCACTTGGTCGTGAAGCCCTAGACCCCTAAAGAAAGCAAGCTGGCATAAAGGAGCCTTGATAACTAGAACAGAGTTTCAGTGCATCTTGAATTCTAGTTCCGCAGGGAGCACCAGGGTCTAGTATTGACAATTATTCGGAACCGATAGCACAGCCCCGCTAACTTCTTAATGTGGAGGTCACTGCACCCTGCTTGGTTCAAGACACGGCTCTTTGCCTCCTGCCGACATGCCACCAGGGTAGAGTGCAAGGCTACCGAAAGAGCGCCCTCAGGCTCACTCGTGTGAATGGGGTTTATCTTTGAGCTTGGTGTGGTGTTAAGAGTTTTGATTCAGGAGTTTCAGATGTAGGCAATAGGATTTGGGGTTGAGACATGGCTTGTGTCAGGCTTCAACCATCGACGAACTCTAAAACTCCGCAATTTTAAAGTGTCTTCTGCTGTAGTTACGTATGATCCAGGGTCGAAGGTGCAGACCTGGGCGCTACAGTCGAGGCCGAAGCCTTGAAAACTGAAGCCCTCAAACCTCAACCCCCTGAGCCGAAATCCTGAGAGGTTAGGGGTTTAGGGTTCAGGGTTTAGGGTTCAGGGTTTAGGGTTTAGGGCTTAGGGTTCAGGCTATAGGGCTTAGTTAGGGTTTAGGGTTTAGGGTTTAGAGAGCCCTACAGTGACAGACCAGAAGGCAGCCAAATGAAACCCATGACGAGACGGCGTAGGGTTTTGGGGCCCTTGCTTGTAAGGGCTTGATGTTCAGGAAACCCTGTACTTCCAGGATACAACTCGGCTGTAGCCCCGTAGAAGACCCGATCATTTCAAAAACCCTCTAATAAGACCCTGACGAAACCGCGTGTTTGGAAATTTTAAATCAAGCAAACAAAACCCCATGTAGGCCGAAAGGGCCAAGGTCTTTCCGCTGTGGCTTGCTGAGCGTAGTCGAGATCCGCCAACTCCCGCACTTGATGCAAGGGCTCTTCACGTTTAGACTAGGAATATGGGGTATGGGGGCATCAGGCATAACGGGATTTCATTACGAGCTATTCCTGTTTTCTGGTTGTATGACTCTGCTATAGCCGTGCTCTAGAGGATTTATCAGGGCTCTGCAAGAGTTTTTTGAAGGTTGCCTAAGACTTCCAGGTTTTCGGGAACAGGGTCTAGAAATTTGGGCTTATAAAGGGTACGGGATTTAGGGTTCCTGACTACGGTACGTAGGGTTTCGTGCAGGTTTTCTACGGGCTGTACATGCGTCAGTTTTGGCTCCAAGGTTTCGCATTGTTTGGGCTTAGAACTTCGGGGCGAAAGGACGAAAGTTTACCCTAAACCCTAACCTGGTCATGCAAGGTACGAACCTACTAAGTTACTATGGACTACGAAGCTCGTAAGAAGCAGGCCTTTCGAAAGAGGATCCACGTGGGGCCTGCAAGCACAGGAGTCACGAGGTTGCGAACATATAATATACGAGTGATTTTGTACCCGTGGTAAGAAGGAAACACCGCATAACACAGAGGGAGAGCGAGAAGTGAAAGCAGTAAAGTGAAGACAAGAATTATAATCAACTCTCTCGCTCTCTCTCTCTCTCTCTCTCACTTTTCTTGCATACGTATTTTCATATGTATGTATGTGTGTCCGGCAGCCTCTGTCTCTGTCTCTTTCTCTGGCTCTGTCTCTGTCTCTGTCTCTGTCTCTCTCGCCGTCTCTGTCTGTCTCTGTCGGTCTCTCTGTCTGACTGTCTGTCTGTCTGCCTGCCTGCCTGGCTGTCTGTCTGTATGTATGTATGTATACGTATATGTATATTATGTATATGCTTTTGTATATGTAGATGAAGTCCTTGTAACTTGGACCTTTCTTCTTCACAATGCTTCGGGAACCTGTACTATGTACGATCTTGGAAGAAACAGCGAAGCCAGAACAGTTTGACCCGGGGCAACGCAGTCATTTGGTGCATAAGCCAGAACAGAAAGCTCTACATGGTGCCTAGCACTCGCAGAAGGGCATCTACAATTAGAAAAGGCCTCTGGGCCCATTGTAGTACAGTCATATACGAACTACAACGGTACATTACTATTGCCAAATTCAGACCTTAGTATTTCATGCCTTACACGACCTTCCAAACATCTGAATCGGGGGCTGGCGGAGCATGTAAAACTTGCACACGGCAACCGGCAAAGCCAGACGCTACCTACACCGAGCAGGTTTAGGGTCCAGGTTTTCTCGCCTTATACTTTAAATGCCCAAAACACAACCAAAAAAACGGCTGGTGAAGACGCAGACCCCAAACAGCGCGACGTATCCCGTTTGCAGCCCCTACATACGTATAGTTATAGCAACACAAGCCCCAAAACCTTATCAAAAGTATTTCCCATATTGCTGCAACACCACGGCGTGGTGGTGTTCCACTCCAAGATCTCAGGGGTGAAGGGGTTTAACATTGAGAATTTACATGTAGAGTTTAGGCTTTAAGATTTAGGGTCTAGTTCTAGGAAAGAGGGCTAAGCGTTTACGCCTGAGACTTTAGGGATTACGGATCACTCTCAAGCGCAATCAACACCCAAGATGCAAGCGGCAGAGCACGATTTGCATCTCCCAAAACACAGCACTTTGGCGAGACCTGAAGTGCCAGATTCTTTGGATTGAATACAGCGTTGACGGGAGCCATGGGGCATCTGATGGCAGCATCAGTGACCAAATCCTCTTGTCCCTGAAGCCAAAGGTAAAGAACCCCATAGCGTCACCAAGCTGCCAGGGGAATTAGGTCATGAACCTCGGGGATGCAAACTCTTGAAAGCCGCCGCAAGCCCTGCACGACGCGTCGCAGGAGGATGGCGATAGGTGTTGAGGGTTTCCGATACAGGCTTTGGCACAACGCTTGAAAACTCTTTAATGCCATCATCCAGAACCCTAAACCCTAAAACTTCATTACATCTTGACAGCTGAAGCTCACTGAGGGTTTGGGGCACAGGGTCGCGTGGGACTCTGCCGGAAATTGCTCAAGCAAGCGTGGGAACTCACCGAGGCACGCCAAAGGCGATTGCTCGAAGGGCAGGACATCCATAAGGGCCGATATGGGTTTGGGGTTTTTGCACTTATGATTCAAACTTTCTTGAAGTTCGGAACTTAAGGTTTACTGTTCCCTCAGGAGGGGGGGTTGTCGGACCCAGGGCTTGGAGATAAGGGCCCAAGTCCCAAATTCTACTCTGCGGTGGGGCCCGCCTCAACTTGCCATGAGTGTCCTGCCCCTCTAAGTCGGGTGGTATGTTAGCCTCACGTGCTTGTGCATGTTCTCATGCTGAAAGTGCTTGAAGGATCGAAGGCTTTGCCGAACGACCCACGGGAAAAAAATCCTGGCGACTGCCGGACATGTCCCTTCGGGGCTCTGGAGCTCATGGTTTAGGAGGAATTGGGAGTTGCATGTGAGAGCTTTACGGTTCAGGGTTTAGGATTTCTGTCACTAGCTGCTACCTGCGCGATCGGACATTTCTGGACCTTGACGCAGGAAGCACCTCCGCCTGCTCGGCTTTCCGGCCGGCCTCAGCACCCAGGGTGCAGAACCCAAAGCCCCCCTCAAACCCTGAAAAGGACCCTAAAGGGTTTAGGGTTTAGGCTCTAAAGGGACTCTAAAACCAGCGCCCAAAAACCTGGAACTCCAGGGACTCGCGAGCCAACCCCCCCCCCCCACTCCTTGGGGACCTTTGTGTGCATAGGGTTGGAGCATGGATGTTCCAAAAAGGGGGTCTTCACAATTAGAATGGGCTTTTTGGGCGTAGTGTGACTTATTGTTCAGTCTTCCACACTAAAGTCTCTGAAACCTCAAACCTGTGACCACTCGACCTTCACTCCCTAATCCCTAGAGGCCGATGGCTTAAACAGGGTTTAGGGTTTGGGGTTTAGGTTTTAGGGACCAGGGATTAGGGATTAGGGTTCTCTAAACTCCGAAACTCCCACTGCAAAACTCGTAACTATGGCGTAATATACTCGATCGACTCTGCTCTAGATGTGGGGGCTTCAAACAAATACAGGTACCGCATTTGGGGGTGTCCTTGTAATTGGCGGTCCTACTATTCTAGGTTTTCTGCAAGCGTTGAAACAGAAGTTGAACCAGTGTGCTGTAGAACCTGCAGGTTGTGGCGGCTATGGTCAAGGCAACCTTGCGCAAAAGCTTTCGGTCTCCAGCACTACACTCCTCAAGCCAAAGCCTTATCGAACAACAGGCGCTACAACACCCAAAGCCCTAAATCCCAATCGGAAAACCCTCAAAGCTCAAAAACAACAAAAAGGCCCAATCATAAAGCCATCAAAGGCCTATGACCCCAGATCTGAACCCCCAACGACCCATGATCCAAAATCTAAACCCTCAAAAACCTATGTCCCAAAATCCCTACCGCCCAGCCCAACCTATCTGAGCCGAGGGCTCTGCGAAGCCTCGTAGCTCAGGAGATCAGTCCAATTGCGACTGAACTCGAGGAAGGCCTCTTCTAGAAGGGTTTTGTAGGGTTTTGGGCTTAGGTGTTTAGGGGTTTAGGGTTTAGGGTTTAGAGGTATAAAGGTTCTATAATATAAGGGGCCAAGATAAGGGCTTCAGAAGGTCTCATGCTTGGGTAGGGGGGCTTTAGGATAAGGATTGCTCTAGGGTTTCAGGGCATCTGGTGGTATAAGTATATAGAAACCGAACGGGATGCTATGAATACCCATTTAGGGTTTAGGGTTTAGGGTTTTGTCATACCTCCCTTGTACTGTCTGGTACTGTTTAGTGGTTCAGAAACTTCAAATGTCTCGGTGTAGGGTTCAGCAGTTCATCATTGGAGGAAGGGCTGCTTCCCAGAGAGCCCAACCTACGATAGGGACCCGAAAAAATACCTATATGATTTTGAGGGCTCCTTACTATAATTGTACTATATAAAGGGCCCCAAAAACCTTATTCTAATTATTAAGGCCCCTTTATTACTTCTTTGGGTGGCACTGAAAAAGACCAGGACTCATGTCGAAGATCCTACCCCTCCCCCATCCCCCAACAAAAAGTACCTAAACCCAAAAGACCCCCGAACAGAACTAAACCGCTAAAAGCCCTCGGCCTAAACCTAACACCCGTCGCTAAATCAAACAACTCTCTAAGAGAAACCAACCCTAAACCCTAAACCCTAAACCGCAAACTGGGCTGAGCCTTGGGAGTGGGCGCGGATTCGATTCGAAGAACCTGGCAGGTCATCCTCCTGACGGGTCTGCAGAGGGCTGCATGGGAGCATTTTGTATAAATTGTTTAGGGTTTAGGGTTCAGGGTTTAGGGTTTAGGGTTTAGGGTTGTTTAAGGCTTCTTCTGGTTTTGTTCTGGGTTTTATAAGAGAGTGCCTGCAGAGGCTTTCATTTTGCTTTTCGAGGTTTTCTATGGTATGGGTTTGCTGAGTGTCCTCCTGAGCAGTGCCGAAAGCTCGGCGTGCAAAGGCTTGCTTGTTTCTTTAGGGGGCCTACTATCCAGATCCAGGGTCCATCCCTGGGAAATTCGACGCTCAAACCCTAAACCCTAAACCCTAAACCCTAAAAGTTCAAAGGCTTCGGTGATGAACGTCCTGTTCTACAGTCACCGGAGCCAGGTTAATGTAGGTTTTGCCGCAAGCTTCAATCTCACAAGTTCATCCATGCGAGATTCGACCTCCGAGGCTTTTGCGACATTGTGCCCTTCTTGTCGAAACGCGACAACCCTAACGTGTAAAGCCATAAATCCTGCAACCTCAAGCCGCAAGCCCTGAAAGACCTAGAGCCTGAACCCCACACCTTCCAAACCTGGATCTGGGAGTTTCAGAAAATAGGGGACCCTAATATAAGACCTCCTTATTCTAAGCACCCCTGAATAGGGTACCCTAGTTTTCTGAAACTACCATCTAAAGCCCAGAAACCACGGAATCCTTAAATCTTGAACCCACATGTCCCCAAAAAGACTTAGACACTAGACCTCAAAGCGTTGCGCAACCCTGAACAAGATTTAGCGCGAAGGGCCTTCAGCTCTGGGGCTGAAAGATTGCTCTAAAATCAAACTCCATGTGGTCTAAGATCTAGAGCTCAGCGCCCGACAAAAAACCGCTTCAAACACAATCCACACATCAGAAAAGTCTGACATCTCAATCTGAATCATCGACTTGTACGAACCCTATCGTTACCATTGGTCCTACCATTGCTTCTATTTCTTCTTTTCTGGCCACTTTTAATGCCTTCCCCCTAATACTAAACGCCCCCACCCCTGCCCCCCTAAACCCTAAACCCTAAACCTTATAGCCTTAGTTCATTATTGTGTTTTGAAGTGGGAGATCTTGCTGCTGCTCCTGCCGTTGCTCCAGCTCTGGCTCCTGCTCCTGCTCTTGCTTTTGCTCCTTGTCCTGCTGCTCATGGTCTTGCTTCTGCGCCCTCCTATTCAAAACTTTTTTGACAGGCAGAGCTGAGGTCAGGAGAATTTCACGGTTTAGGGTTTAGGGTTTAGGGTTTAGGGTCGCACAGTAAGTTTTATTGCTAGTGTGGTGTTCTATAAAAGGGAGAAGCAAATACCTTGACCATCAATACTTGCTGATATCATCCTCGTGGTTGATGTCATGATTGCTCTTGCTGTGTTTGGTGTAATTGTTCCAGAAGGGGTTATTGTACGTCATCTTAAGTGACCCCTATACAGACAAACGGCAGAAACTGCAAAGGCCATGCTTCTCTTGGTTCTGGTATGAGACCCATTTACAACCATTAAAAACCCCTTGCAGCCTTGCAAGACCCTTGTAAACCCCTGTCTGAATCCCGATCTCAAACCCTTACAAAACTGCATGAATGTCTACAAACCCGTGTAAAGGCACTTAAGAACCTAGTCTTACGAGTAGCACCATGAACTTTCCATGTTGTGTCCCAGCAGCCACAGCCATGGAGTCGTCGCTCACGATTGGCATTTCAGCATCGCTGTTCACCTGCGTGGTTTCTTGCTGTTCTCTCAAAAAACCTTACAAGAAGCAGGCCCGCGGGATGCCATGAGGGTTCTATGAGGGGTCCTGTACAAAGGTTCCATGGTCTTCGGGTTCTGCGTCGCTCTTCACCCGCCGCATTGTTAAGGTTTAGGGCTTGGGGCGTTGAAGGTTTAGGGTAAAGGCTTCACCTCCCATGATGTTTATCAACAAGGTATTAGCATTGCACAATAGAGGTTCTACACGGCCTGCGTGAAGGTTAGTCATGCCACCAGGAGGGTTAGGAATTGTTCATCCTTTTAAGCCGTTAGTGTTTCAGAAGGGTCTCTCTAGTGTTTATGGTACTGTGCTCAGAAAGGCTCTTCGAATAAAGGGTCTGCCGCACACGCCAGACCCAAAATGGAGGCACCGGAACCCTTTGCAGATGCAGATCGGATGTTCTGCTCTAGGCTTCAAGACTTCAAAAGCCTCTTGGACGAGCGCTTTTGAGGCTTCGACGGCTCCGGGTATATGTAGCGTTGAGGCTTAGGGTTTAGGGTTTAGGGTTTAGGGTTTAGGGTTTAGGGAGCGTTGAGGCCCCCGGGTTAAGGTTCAAGATCTTGGCGATTTGGCTCATCTAGGGCTTTTTCGGGTGTAGGCTTGGGGGATAAAAAACATCTAAGTGGATGCCCCGGACGCAGCTTGCAGGTCCAAAGGGCCTTGAGGCGGAGATACCTTGAGGTCCAAGTTTGCAGTCTTGGGCTCTTTTTTGAAGATCCCATGGGGGAAATACTGACAAGCCTAACCACAAGACCTTGATATGGATGGGTCATGCTCATAGGTGAGGTATCCACAACCCAACTCGAGATACTTGTAGCGGTTAAATACCTATAAGCGCAGAATAGAATGTACTATACTATAATAGCCTACAAATATCCTTTTATATCCTATAATATCATACAATATCCTTTTATATTTTCTTTAATATCCTATTATATCCTATACTCTACTATAACATACTATACTATGCTATAGCATACTATACGATACTATACTATACTATACCATAAATATAGTCTAAATATAAACCCTTGCTTGCGGAACTGTCAGTGTGTGGTTTCTGGGGAGCCCCACGCGAGCGGCGCCGGTGGCCAGGAAGAGCTTCACCAGATCCGGCGCGCTGGCCACGGGGTCGTTGTAGTTGAACCTGCCCGGTTTAGGGTTTAGGGTTTGGGGTGTAGGGTTTGGGGTTTAGGGTTTAGGGGTTTAGGGTTTAGGGTTTGGGGTTTAGGGTTTAGGGTGCCCGTTGAGGATTTTGGGTGTCAGGGTGTTGGGGGTTTAGGGTGCTAGGGTTGAGGGTTTAGGTTTAGGATGTAGCTGATCTAGCGATATGCCGAGAGCTGAAGCAGGATTCTTACTCTGACTTACGGTCAACTCCTAGGTCCTAGGTTTAGGGTTTAGGGTTTAGGGTTTAGGGTTTAGGGTTTAGGGTTTAGGTCATATGTTCAACTCCCCAAATCCAGAGGCACTCTCGTTTGCAGTCGAGTTCAAGGTTCCGGGCCACCAAAGCGGGACTTGGAGGAGGCAGGAAGCTGAAACGGAGGCTCCAGTAGTGCCAATGTACAAACTCAAGAAAAGCCATCAGCCGGACTGATTGAAGGTTACTGCATACAGAAGATGAGACCAGGGCGCATATCTCCCTTTCGACAACTCAGGCGGTCCCAGTCTTGACAGAAGCAGAAAGTGGGCTCTGGCGAGGCATTGGCGAAAAAGAATCCTTACGTCGTTCCGCATCCCTGTGTTTAGGACACAGCTTTGAAGATCGGACTGCTTTGAATGCCGGTATTCACATTCACACAGACTGGCCCTGGCTGATCTCCGAACTGCCATGCATCCTGAAATGGTCGATGCAAGGCCGCTCTTGGCTTTGACGATTCCTTGGTTGTCCTTCCGGAAACATGGGGGTTTCCGAAAATAGGGGACCCTAATATAGTACCCTAAAATAAAAGGACCCTTATTATAAGGACCCCAGAATAAGGTACCCCTAATTTTCGGAAACTCCCACATTGTACAAAGGCGCAACATGAAGCCAGCATGTGCTCCAAGCTCCTTTAGCCAAGCACCTGTTGTTGGCACATGGTAGAAGCAGAAAGCTCGAAACTCTCAAAGAGCAAATCCAGAGCCCGAAGCCCTGAGCCCCAAAACCCTGAACCTAAATCCTCAAACAAGAACGCCAAAACCTAATAACCTTAAACCCTAAACCCAAAATCCCAAAAGCTAAAATCCCTAACCCCCAAACCTAATCACCCTAAACCATAAACCCCAAAACCTAATCACCCTAAACCCTAAACCCCAAAACCCAATCACCCTAAACCCTAAACCCCCAAACCTAATAACGCTAAACCCAGGGTCCGAACTTGAGGGCTGGGTCAAAACAGCCCAGTTAGGGTTGAGGACCTAACAAAGAAGGGTGGGCCTTCATAGTTAGAATAGGGTGTTGGGGTCTACTATGCTATAATTATAATGATAATGAATGGGGATCCCCGAAAATAGTCTGGGTAATTATTTTGGCCTCTATATTGGGAGCTTCACGGCTCCAGCCTGGGGCTCGCCGTTGCGGGCTTCCGTCAGCGAATTGGGGCTTCGGGCTCTTCGACGTTGAGGTTTAGGGTTTAGGGTTTAGGGTTTAGGGTTTAGGGTTTAGGGTTTAGGGTTTAGGGTTTTAGGGCCTAGGGTTTAGGGGTTTCAGGTTTAAGGGAATGTGCCTTTGAGGGCTTGCTGAAAACCCGCCCCGACAAACCTCCAGGCATGGCAAAACCATAATTTAAAAAAATGAGACCCTAAACCCTAAACCCTAAGCCCCTAATTAAACGTAAAGCCCAAACCCCTAAACCCCTAAACCCTAAACCCCTAAACCCCTAAACCCTAAACCCCTGAACCCCTAAACCCCTGAACCCCTAAACCTTGTTACTCCTCATGAAACCCTGAAGCTCCCAAGATGGCAGCTCTGAAGATGGCCTGCAGCCATCGTACCTGTCCAGGCATGACGGTAATGATATATACATATATAACATGAAACTGCTACGTACACTATTTCAAAAACGTATGAGATGATATATATATATATATATATATTGTAAATAATAACAATAATATGTATATATACTTATATTGAATTGTTCTAGAGTATGAGATGATATATTTGATGTGAATATTCTATGGTTTAAAATGTATGATATGATATCTTTGGTTATTTAATATTGTATTATGTGGTGGTGATGAGATGAAGGCGACGACAACGGGAGATGTGGCTGCGACCAGCCGATTCACCGGTTCCTGATGTTGCCCTTAGCCTCTAGGACTCTAGGACTACATGGCTATTGCAACTGTTCTCCCCAGTGTCATATTCTTTGTGTTATGAAACCGCCACGACTACTACGAGTACTTCGCATGCTGCTACAAGTATAGCCAACTGTCAACAACAACAATCGCGATAGCTACTGCTACTGCAAGTGTTCATCCTATGAGCTTTTAGCCACTCACTCTGCGGCCTGTCTGTGCCATGTGCTCTGTGACTGCTCGTATTGCTGCGAGTGCGAGTGCCAGCCGCATTGCTGCGGCTACTGCCAGGAGTGGCTTCCTTACTACTTTTAGTATACATATGAGTGTAGGTTGCTGCGGCTACTGCCAGGAGTGGCTTCCTTACTACTTTTTTTCGTATACATATGAGTGTAGGATGCTATGGTGGCAGGGCCCGTGAAGCTTGTTTCTCAGTAGTCGTTGTAAACGTGAGAAACCTATCTAATCAACTGGTTCATATATAAGTCCTTGAAGAAAAAGATAGGTTTGGCATCCCGCAGGAGGCGTTCGAGGCAGAAATTGAAACCCAAATCCCCAAACCCTAAATGGAAGAGCCCTGGAACCCAACGCCTTGAAGACTAAATCTAAATACAATAACCCTAACTTCCCGAAATTCTGGCCTAAACAATAACAACCCTGAGGCCCCGAATCTGTAAACCCGCGTCAGTTCGGCCTCTTCCAGAAAGTAATGTTGGACTGGATGTTCTGCATAACCTGCTTGTTTCGTCAGCCCAGATGTCAACTTTTACCAACAGCTGACAGGGGCTCACGTCACAATTCTACTGGACTCTGCAAGATTTCTGTAGTTTCGTTTGTTTGTTGTACGAGGGTCTTACAAAGGTTGCTTTTGCTAGGGGATGTAATAAGGTTTCCGAGGCTTCGGTGATTAGGGTTCAGGGTTTCGGGTCTTGGGTTTCCAGGCTTTCGTCGAGGATCCGTGGCTCCTGTGCACCATTTGGCAAACGTCAGCAGGAGCCCCTGCCCTTTTACGCAGTGTCCAGGGCGATCTTGATCCAACACACGCTCTGATGGTGTCTGAGTCCATGCCCGGTATGCACAAGGCGAGAGCCCCCAGCAGCTTTGCGATGGCCGTCTCGAAGATCTCCTCTCGTCTTTCACGGAAAGAGACGTCCCTTCTAATCCTTATCACAGCAGCGACAAGGCCTACCCTGTAGACCAAAACCTGCTTGGTCGCGTTACGCCGTTCAGCCTGAGCGCCTGCAACTGGCACAGGTGCCAGACTCTGACTCGCCATCATGCTCGGCAAGGAGGGGAGGTCATGTGTCAGCTGAAAAGATGGAGCGCTGTGGCCCTTTTTCCCACGGCAACTTCAAAGTCGCAAGGCTCGGGTGATCAAGCAGTTCGACCTCTGCTTGAGCTGGCGTCAGCTTTCGGGGCTTTGGCTTACGCGTTCAAGGCTTTGGACTCGGGCGAACGTCGGCTTATCCGATTGTCCGAATAATTGGCAGTAAACGAATGGTTGGAACGTTGTTTGAACACCTCACTACTGATTGCACTAATGAAGTTCGACATATCGGAAATCCGACGATGCGATGCGAATTTTCGGAATATACTACAAATCAAGTCATGTCGAAAAGGCTACCTACTAAAGTTCGATCTGTCGGAATCTCCCGCAAACAAAATATATGTAACTTCGAGCAATCTGAATTTCAGACAACTGAGGAGCTTTCAATGACGAGGTACTACCCGGCAAACAATAAACATGAACTTCGAATTAGCAAAGCCTCCGACAAACACAAGACACACAACTTCTGCCGGCGAGATGTTTTGCAGGTACCAGTACTCTTCAAACTAAACAGGCAATGTGCGGCACAGATCCGACTCCGATCCACTGGGCGACCACGATATCAGGATCGCTGGGACGTCCAATCGAGTCTCGCTATGACCCTAAACCCTAAAACCCTAAACCCACATGAAGCCCGTCTGACTCCAACATCCAAGCCTGCATAGCAAAAAGCCGACCAGAGATGCTGCTGGTTATCCCACCGTCCGTTGTCCATCGTGGCAGATGCCCTCAACTCAAGGATACTTGTTCTGGCTCAGCTAAAAGGGGGCACCCCTACCGGAGCTGCCTGGCGATAACCGAAGAAGCTTAGTTCCAGTGCCCCCAGCAGCTCTTGTGAACCCTGCCTTGCATCCAAAGGGGCCCTCAACCCCCCAAACGTGAGCCAGAAGTAAGTGTTAAATCCGACATCTTGATCAAACCCTTATAAACACCCAAAAACCCTTTAAGATCCGTTACAAAAACAAAATCCTCACAAAGAAGGCCCCCGGTACGAAAGACAAAAAGCCCGCCGGAGCGCCTCCAGGTCGAGTCGCGGACTCCTCATGAACATGGAGAGGCAATCCTTAGCTCATGGGCAGGCGACGAGAGGAAGGCTCTTTCGGGCGGGGGGGGGGGGGGGGG